CATAATTATTTAATGATCAGAGAAGAAGGCTTTAGTATGAAGGACTAAATGCTTTGATGAAAAGAAAAACAAAATTCACTTATGATTGAGTCTTCAGTAGAAATCAAATTAAAGACAAATGGACCTTTCATATCACTATATGAGACTCAAAATAAGATACGCAAAATTTGCATCCTACTTGCGGTCTCATTGGGCATAAGCAAAATGCATTTAAACATCCTAACAATGCATATATAGGTAATTATTTAGGAATTACAGATTACTTAGAAATGAATCTTACAAAGTGGTTAATTATGTGGTAAAATTTTCTTTGCTTGTTTGCAACATCCTTCCCATGTAGGGTGAGAATACAGTCGACCACTCATTTTGACCAGCACTAGAGTTTGGCGCAGGCCTTTTTTTTTCTTGTTATTGCATGTTGTTGAAGGTTGTATAACTTGTGCATTTGAGCTGGATATTCAGCATCTATTTTTGTCTGAAGACAAAGCAAAGTTTTTCGACCTTGTTTTGGAAAGGTCAAGTTAGTATTTCATACTAAACAATCTATATTCAGTCTAGGATGTTGGATTACTTGTGAACCAAATCCCAGGACTGCAGGGATCAGAGCCACTGTGTAGCCAGTGTAGATGAGAGGCTACTGGCATGAGAGACAGAGTTCCCATACTCTCTCTCACCTCCACTACAGATGGAGACATGAGTCATGTCAAAATCCACTTTATCTTTAGATGTTTGCACTAAATAACTACTCAGTGATGCTATGTTGGTAATTCTGATGGCTATTTCGACTAATGGCTAATCTATCTTTTTTTTTTAACCTTTTAATTATGAAAATTTTGGAATGATACAGATACAGCCCCAACCATGTATGACCGACAACTCTAAATTTGTTTCAGTACTTCTTGAATCTTTCTCAACAGAAATTTTTTAGGCTTGGGCTCTGTCCTTCACAACGTGAACTCTTGCTTTATTAGCCTGACATTTTGTTCCAACCTCTGTTGACAGCTTCTAGCCTCTAGTGTGCATTCTCTTTAGTTGCTTCTTATCTTTATAACTAATGCTGTTCTGTTAGGCCCAGCCAAACTCACTGATTTGTGATCTGTTGCTCTATGTAATATAAAATCTTGTCTTATTCTCTAGCATCTCTCTTTTATCCCTGATGTTTATTTTGTTCCTTGCATTTTCATTTTGTGTTCTATCCCATTCTGGATACAGATTTAAAATGTCTGTGGGACACCAGAGAGAAACACCAAATTTCAGTTCAGAGAGACCATTGTGAGCTATAATTTATGAAACTAAAGCACTTTATGATTTTATAAAGCATATCCTCCACACTCACACAATATCTTATTGGTCCTCACAACAACCCTGTGAGGTAGGTATTAACATATCCATTTGGCAAAGCAGGAGATAGAAATGGTGGTATACATGCAGATATGCTACCTAGAATGTTCTAGAACTTTAGTGGTGTGAATTTGGGGTGTGTGTGCCAAAACCTGAAGGAAAGGATAATTGTGAAAATGTGACTTGTTAATTGGTAGAGAGGCACCAAAATGTGACATAAAATCCTACATTTTTCTAGGGTTTTTTTTTTCTCTTTTTCTTACCAATCCTACATTTCATTTTCTTCCCTTTCTTTGCCTACCTCAAATATCTTTTCTATTGAGACATTTCTTTTTCTCCATGCTTTGTGCTTAGAACGTGAAATACAGGCTATTTTTGGAATAAAAAACTATCAGCATTATTTCTTCATGATCAAAATAGTTTTTGTGAAATGAATAAGTAATTTAAAGAATGAATAAGTAATTTAAAATTCAGGCTTTGGTTCAAATGTGTTGAAAAATCTCAACGGTATTTCACTGTAAAACTAAAAAAAATGCTCTAATTTGCAGAAGAAGAAGACAGGAAAGTGAATTAAGCAAATAAAAATAAATCATTTTTTTAACATTCTAAAGAATTAAAATCTTTATTTCCTTTGAATACAGACATAGTCCTATTATTTCCCCAGTATACCTCTCTTATAATTACTAATTATTTTTCATATGTCTCAGAAAAAATAAGCTGTGGAAAGCTAGTGATGCCATCTATTTTACCAACCATTCAGCTCCAGGAAGTACACACAATACATCCATGTTAAATAAAAGAGTGAATGAAAGTGAATGGGTTGATCATAACGTGTCAAAACTATAAACCTACATAGAACCAACACCCCATGAAATTTCTTCTAGATCTTAATGGATTACTTGGGGTTATACAAAACTGACTGAGAGGACAAAACTGATAGCAGAGGACACCTGGCCTTGTACCTGAGGATGAGCTGGTGCACTCACAGTGTACATGGGGGTGTGCAGCCTGGGGTGGATCCAGGGGTGGGAGAGCAAAACGCAGTGTGAAAAAAGCAGCACAGGAGAATAGCACTAAGGATCAGAAGAAAAGCCGTGTAGAAGCTGGGCACAATACAGGAACCAAGGTCATTTGGAGGAAGCACAGAGAGATCTTGGAAGTCAGTGGTTCTGATGACTTGTCCAGAGATGAAGAAGCTTTTAATGAGATGGCTTCTGGGTGTCCTGCCCAAACCACCTGATCATAAAAGTTTCCTGATCAAAAAACTCAGGGAGTTGTGTTGATCCTGACGCACATATAAGAGAGGAAATAAATGATTATTTTATTGCATTTAAATCATGCCTAAAACATATAAAATGTATAGTAAGGTAGTTCAATATAATATTCCACATATCAGAATTAAAGATGTAGATAATCAGGTATTTTCATACAGACTAAGTTGGTAAAAGATTTTTGGAGCCATTTGTGCAAATTCCTCAAATTACAACATGCATATCATCTTTGAACCGATTCAAATTCTATTAAATTGTCAAATAAAACATAGTTTCAGATGATTATTTATAAGAAGGGAGAATGGAGCACTGTTTATTAAAACCAAATCAAAGTAGGGCCTGGGGATTTAGCTCAGCGGCATAAGCACCTGCCTTGTAAGCAGGCAGTCGTGAGTTCGATCCCTGGTACCGATAAAAATGAAAAAGACAAAAAAAAAAAAAAAATCAAAGTAAACAAAGATCATTAAGTGTTCATGATAAGGGGCTTGAATGCTTATGTCCTGGTAATTATTATATAACAACATATTGCAGCAATCGTTAGTAATTGAAACAAAATGGATGGAGCCATCAGTAATGACAAGGACAGATAACATATATTATATTAAACATGGAAAAGCAGAACACATCATACTAGATGAGCATACATACATATGATTCTTTTTTCCTTTGAAAAGCCGTGGTGTTATACACTCTCCGAGGGTAAGGCATAGAGAGGAAACGGTATATGTAAATAGCACTCATTGCTTTTCCAAAAATGAATGCACATAAATTCCAAAGTAGCCATGAAAAATCTGTAACTGACAACAGTTCTAAATATAGCTCTAAAAAATATTCTAAGAATTTGCTAACCACAAGTAACTGTGTGGTTGCTCAGTGTACAGACAAAAAACGTACAGCCTTTTCTTATTTACTAAACTCAACTATAATCAGTGGTCATGAGCTCAGAAAAGCCTCTAGGAAAAGATAAAGAACAAAAGATTAGAAAACAATAGAAGTGTAGATAAAGATTCACATAAAGCTAGGGAAGAGGGACTTGCAGAGTTCAACTGAAATTAAGTTGAGTGAAAGCTAATAAGGGAAATAAAAGATACTGAGGACAAAGGTAACTGCCTTAAAGAATAAATGTACACAAAGAGAAAAAAGCTATGTTAATGTTTTTCTTATCTTAATATAACAATAGTCATCATCAAATAACTGTAAATATTCTGGGAAGACATGCAATACGTTGTTCAATTTTGAAACCATCATGAACTCTGTATGCTAGCCGGGTGCAGTGGTGCGTGCCTGGAATTCCAGTACTTGGAAGGTCGAAGCAGAAGGATTGCAAGTTCAAGTACCACCTGGGCAACTTAGTGACTTAATGAGACCCTGTCTCAAAATAAAAGAAAAAATTTTGGCTGATTTTCACAATGAATATTATAAAATGCTTTAATGTGCTATCCATATATAGTATTAGGTTAAAACACTTATTTTTGCAAAGTATAGAAGTATTGGTACTGTATTTTTAAAAACGATTACAACTAACAACTGCAAGACTTGGGTACATCAAAAGATGTGTCATAATTTGCACAAAGCAGACATCTGAATAATCAATTATGATCACTGTTTGTGTTAGCTATTTCCATATTTCATGTGGTATCACATGGCCCTCCTATGGAGATCATAGGAGAGCAACTATTTAATTCTTAGAGTCAAGTGGGTATTCCTCAATCCTTTACATAACCTTTCATTACATTAACATAGATTTGGCCTAAAGACACAACTAATTAAATTATTTATATATAACAAATAGATGGTATCCAATCTTGTAGTTAGCTTTTGGTTTAATGTATAGATCCCTTACATTGAACGAGGAGATCTGCAATCCAATGACAATGATTCCTATTATAAAATCTCTTCACTTTCAGGTTTGACAATAGGATATGGAATTCCAGCTTTTCAACTTTTTAGAAAAACCAAACAACCCTGGCCTGCAGAGAACTGGTCTATCAGGTTCCTTGGGTGTGTAAATTTCTATATATAAGGTTTTGGTTAGCATGGTTAGGGAGTAAAGAGGCTGTAATTGTTTCTATTCATAAGCTTGATTTTCTTTCAGTGGATACAAATTGACTAGAAAATTGAACAATTTTCTATGTGGAATTTTCAAAAAATAGTGCTCATCACAGAAACAGAATACCAATAGGTAATGAGACTGAAAGAGTTGTATAACTTAATGTATTTGTTTTACTCCAATTAGCATGTTGTACTTGTGGAAAACAAGCCTGGCTCCCACAGACTCTCCACGGATTACTGCCGAATTTCCCAACATTTGTTTCAAGCCCAGACCGTTAACGTAACAATTTACTCATTTAAGAAATGCACATAGAAAACAAGAATTTATAAACTTACGGAATAGATTTCCAGTTCCTTTTTCTCCCTTTTGACCTTTTTGTCCAGGATTTCCTGAGAGGGGAAAAATAGTTTAATCAAAACAAATCAAAAGCAGTCACTCTCCCTCTCCTTCCTTCTCTTCCTTCCTTCCTTTGCTCCTTGTTCCTTCCTTTTTTCAATCCTTTCTTTCTTTCCCTCTTTCTTATATTGGAAATTGAATTTAGAGCCTTCCACATGCTAGGCATGTACTCTGTCACTGAGCTGCTGAGTCCCCCAAATGCTTGTTTTATGTGGAGATAGAACATCATGGGGTGATGCAAAATATCAATGTATAGCAAGTTATAGATACTCAAATAATATAACAATATTTATAATAAGAACATTACTTTTCAAACCATGTGATGAACCTGATATACTACCTTAGCTTATAAATGCATTAAATGTTCCATTTTTAAGTGCCTTTTTTTTTTTTTTTTTTTGGTCTTTTTTCCTTTTTATCGGTACCGGGGATCGAACTCACGACCGCCTGCTTGCAAGGCAGGTGCTTTTGCCGCTGAGCTAAATCCCCAGCCCCAAATGTTCCATTTTTATAAAACAGAAATTTACAGAAAGCGTGAGTTTGGTTTGTGCTCATGCATCCTCCGTTTCTTCTCTTTGACCGCCTTTCTCCCACCCCAGAAAGCCCAGAATCGCCCATTCATCCTAAACTTTGTTATTTTATTGTCATTATAGTTTATTTATTCCATCCCTTTAGGACAAAGCACCCGAAGACTGAGGTGTAAATGAATTTCTGGGAGTGCTGAGTTTCTGACGATCTCAGTTTGAGTGGAAAGTATAAAAGTTCATCCAAACCTTTATGCTGGTCAGTCTTACCCTCATGACTTTGCACTCGTTTACAGACGGGCAGTTATTGCCATTCTGTGTGACAGTCAGAGTGGTTAGATCTTGGTTCCACTAGTGATTTGGTGCCTCATCCAGAATTTCAATTTAAAGGGCATCTCGGGGGGCACGGGGACATAGCTCAGTGACAGAATGCTTGCCTGGTATGTGGAGGAGCCTGGGTTCAATCCCCAGCGTACCTCCCACCCCCTTAAAAAAAAAAAAAAGGTGTAAACATATGCCTTCCTGGCATATATGTAGAACTGATTCTACTACTGTCTGTCTCAAAGTCAGAACTTCGGTTAATGCTTTTGATCTGCTCCCCACGAAATCAAGAATCTCCATCCACCCCTCTTTGTCTAAAAATCACAAACTTTGGAATAATACTTGTGATTTAAAATTTTTGTCTTAAGTGATTTTGCTCCACTGCTTTGCTGTAGGCATGCGGCTGAGGACGGTCTTTAACCCTTTTCTATATAAAGCTGACTCCACTATAAAAGGAAAGTAAAATTCCTCCTATTGCAGAGCTGCCTGGAAATTAGCACCTACATTAATACAGAGCAAGTTTATAAATGGTGGTGCTCCTCTTATTGATGCTTCTGCTTTTTAACACCCACAGATGACCCAGAATATGAAGTCTGTGATTTTTACTGTCATTGAATCAAAACAGGAATTTTTCAACGTAGATCACTTTTGTTGAGGTTCATCATTATAGACACCTAATATTATGCTAACTGTCCTCGAAGAAATGTTGTTTACGAAAGCTAAAAATCCAGTCTAAGACTTGGATTCTAAAATAAATCAAGCATATTTTAAAGCAATAAGTATTAAATTATGTTTATAAATATTAGTAACACCAGGACATTTAACATGATTTTTAATTTTATTTAAGATTGAATACTAATTAATTTGTTTTAATAATTTAATTATTTAATAGTTTCCACTGAATTTTGTGTTGAATGTTTATTCTTCTGCACCCCTTTAAGATTTCTGATTCCTTATTTAATTGTAAAAAGTATAATATAATGTAATGTATAAAGAGTATCACATGACTTGAAGAAATTAAAAAGTACAAATTATTCCCAATTGAAATTTTAGTTTTAAGATTTAATAATATGACAACTATTCCTTATCAGAGTGCTATGGTGAGAATTTTCACATTGATTTCATGATATTCTATTTTCATATCATGAAAACACATAAAATCTTAATTGTGATTGAGTCATATTAGGTGCTATACCATTGTCCGAAATCATCAGGTACCACAAAGTCTCCAGCATTCCTCTTATTTTTCAAGTGATGTCATTTTGTGAAGTATTGTAACAAATTTTTGAATCATTTATTAAGAAAAGTCTAAGAAACTTTAAAACAGTATTTAAAGCAAGCTGCAAATGATCAGTTCTAATTCTTTACAGAGGATATAGTAAAATGCTTAGCTTAATTTAGCTATCTAAGCATTTGACAATTTGGAAAGAGAGAGAGACTAAATGATTCTTGGAAGTCTAACTATACATCAATGCTTTGGGATCTCTTAGAATTGAAAAGTTCAAGATACAGCACTAACTCGCTTATGACTTAATTACTTTGTAGTTTAATGTAATTAGGAAAGTATGTAGTAGAGTTCAAGCAGATCTGATTTTTTGCCAAATACACCAAATAACTATTATTGTTTAATCAGATCATAGACTAACAAACTATTTTTTTTTACTCTAAGCTTAAAGCAGAGGAAAAATTTTATCTTTCCTTCACAGAATTATGTGAAATTATGTAGGAATCTATAAATAGCTTTGCAATTGTGTGAAATTTAAGGTTTTAAATATATTTGTTCATTGAACTCAAATTGCCCATAAATGAAATTCAGCAGTTGTTGAGTGATGTAGATCATTTCAAGCAAATTAAACAACAAACACTTCCTCTCATATTGCCAAAAGGGCCTGATTAAAGCTAGATGGCTTAGTGATGGTTGATATATAAATACACCACTCATTTCAGGTAATCAAGTCTCTAGTGGAGACTAATTGCAGGTTGCTTACTTGAGGTTAGCTGATTTTTCTGCAAGCTAATTGGCAAAGACACAGTTCATATACACTGATTCAGTAATACCACAAAACATTTATTAGAATTGCTGAATTCCAAGTCACTGATAGCACCCAAAGCCAGTGAGCATGTGGAACAATAGGGATTCTCATTTACTGCTGGTAGGAATGCAAAATGGTAGTCACTTTGGAAGTCAGTTTTGCAATTTCTTACATAGCTAAACATATGCTTACCATCTTTGGCAGCGTTATGAATAATTGCCCAAATGTGGAAGCAACCAAGATGTCCTTCACTGGGTAAATAGCTAAACGGTTTGTAATTCATCCCTAAAATTGAATGCTATTGACTAATAAAGAAAAACAAACAACCAGGCCATAAAAATATAGAAATCTTAAATATATATTGCTAAGGGAAACAGCCTTGTATAATTACAACTGCATAATCACACTGTGTAATTACAATTTAATTATACCACATTTTATAATTACAACTATGACTTTCAGGAAAAGGCAAAACTGGAAATAGTTAAAAGATCAACAGTTCTCAAGAGTTTGGAGAGTGGTAGTAATAAATAGGCGGAACAGAGGGAATTTGTAGGACAATAAAGTTTTCCTATATAATACTGTAATGAGGAATACATGACATTGTAACCCCATAGAATGTACAGTGCAAAAATTAACCCCTAATTTGAACTGTGGATTCTCATTAATAATAATCATGTATTAGTATTGCTTTATTGTTACAAATGTACCTACTAATGCAAAATGTTAACATTAAGAAAATTGTATGTGACTGAGCAGCATATGGGAATTCTATAAGTCTCTGCAATTTTTCTATAAACACAAAATTCATCTAAAATAAAATCTATTAAAACAGATCTTTTTCTCTTGGTAATAATGTACCATGAAATTAGAAAAACATGAACCTATACTTTTCTAAACTTCCTGTGTGAAGAAAGTAATCCAAGCTTGGGCTATTGTCCTAATCTGTCATCATGGATGTAAATATTGAAATGCTGAAAATATCAATTTTTAAGCACTAATAAAAAATATCAAGCAGTTTATTTTGGATAAGGTATAATTTCAGGGTTTTCTGCATTTTTCCACAGTAACTTAACAGAGTTTGACAGTATGGTTAATGATGTGTTTACACTCGTTTTTTTTTTTTTTTTTTTTTTTTTTTGCTATTCCTTTTACTTCATTTGTTGCAATATAGATGCAATTCTTTTTGCTGTTTTTGTTTTTAATTAAGCTTATTGGTACATTTTAGATATGCATAATGATCATATTCATCATAGGGAATTTGTACCTGTACATGGTGTATTTTGATTTCTCTTTGCTTCTCAATCTCTCTTCCCCTCAATACTTACAAAGCTTCGTTTCCTTTTCAGTGACTTACAATTGTCTTGTGTGCATAAATCCTGGTGTGTTTGTATGTTAAACTATTATCTTTTGGAAAGTAAAAATTTTCTTCAGGTGAACAAAAGTCAGTCTTAAAAAACATTTCAGGCAACAAAACAAACTTACATGAGTGTTACTATTCATATTATGATGAAGTATTTTGTTATCCAAGAGTTTAAAAACAGTTATCTACGATGTGGTTTTTATTTTTATATTGTATAACAAAAGGTATAGCATTGTAATACCTGGTCTGCCCACATTTCCTGCTGGTCCCGGGTAGCCTTTACTTCCAGGAAAGCCAGTTACTCCACGATCACCTTTAAGACCTGGAGGACCTACATGATTAATAAAGAAGAAAGAAAAAGAGAAACACTTCATTTTTCAAATAGATATGAGAATATGAAAAGTGAATATAAATAAGTGAATCTCCACGTGGGAGATAACATCTTTACTAAGATGCCATGTGTGCTACTGAAAGATAACATAAGCATTAATTATGAGTATTAGTATGGTGTAGATATTCAGTAATATATTATTAGTTGAAATAAAAACAGGAGACAAAACAAAACTTGGAGTTTTAACTGATTTATATAATCAATCAGGGATCTTCAAATAGCAGACTTCAAATAGCTATAATGATAACTTGCTGAAGAATAAATTTTAGAGATTTGCACTAGAAAAATTCCCCATTTCAAACAATGAAAATGTTAAGTATTCATTTAAAAATTGAAGCCTTGGTTCTTGAATGGACTACATTATCTTTCATGAATTTATTGTGTTCCCAAGCAATGCAAGTGTAATCACACACAACACAGATTTACTTGTGAGTATATGATAGATGCATATACAAATTCAAACTTTTTAATATTTAAATAAAAACTGAAAACAGACATCCTAATCTATGGTAAGAATGGAAACTGTATGTAATAAAAAATGCAATATTCTTATGAGAAATTTTTATCCCAGAGGTTAGTGATTTGACATAAACTAACAGAAAAGTTTAAATGCTTTATTTTGTCTTAACTGTCATTATAAGTACATAAAGATCTCAGTAATCCAATGTTGAGTTGAATCCTTTTGTAAGCTACATTATGAGAACTATCACATACTTTATTTTTCCAATGTCAACCTTTTAGAATATTGCCTTTAGTTTACAATGTCCAAGAGGCAGAATTTAGGCATATTTTATTTAAAACATCTTTTCTTAGGTTGGAATACAGCTCTTTGGTATAACACAAAATGTCTTAGTTATTTTTCTCGTTGCTGAGACAAAATACCCAGTGTCCCAAATTAAGGAAGGAAAGGTTTTTTTAGCTTCCAGTTTGTGGAGGTTTCAGCCCATACTCAGCTCTCTCTAAGACAGGGTGGCATGGTAAATGGGAACAGTTCATGGCTGCAGAAGTCAGCAAAAACAACAAGGGCAAAAAAGAAGGAGCGCAGAGGAGACTCTTTTTTTTTTTTTTTTTTTTTTTTTTTTGTCTTTTTCATTTTTACCGGTACCAGGGATCGAACTCATGACTGCCTGCTTGCAAGGCAGGCGCTTATGCTGCTGAGCTAAATCCCCAGCCCTGAGGAGACTCTTTCTACCCCTTGTATTGTATACAGGCTACCCACTGTAGGGTGAGGGAGCATTCACACCCATAATCTTAGCACTGAACCATAAATCAGTCACAAACTCTAGAAGCCTGCCTCCATGACTGCATGAGGCAGATACAAACCGTAACACATAACAAGGAAGAGGTGTCGAGTTTGATTCTCAGCATAGCCAATGAAAACGAAACAAAACCAAACCACTGTTGTTGAGGTTCATCATTATAGACACCTAATATTATGCTAACTGTCCTCTAAGAAATGTTGTTTACGAAAGTTAAAAATCCAGTCTAAGACTTGGATTCTAAAATAAATCAAGCATATTTTAAAGCAATAAGTATTAAATTATGTTTATAAATATTAGTAACACCAGGACATTTAAAATGAATTATTTTGTTTTTTATTTTTACTACTCTGTACTACCACTATACAGATCAGATATACTACCTTGTAACATGTATTGGCTGGATTTTTAGCCTCATTTAAAAAGTTCTAACATCTGTTCTCAGAACAAACTAATCAATCAACAATCAAACCTTCATTTATTACACAGTCAGACTCTGCACCAGTAGTTAGTGAGATCTGTAAGTTAAATTTACAAATAAAATCACCGACATTATGTTGCCTCATTTTTTAAAAATTTTAAAAGATTCACCCACTCTTTGCATAGTACCACTCACAAGTAGCTCCCATGTCTACAATTTCCTCAGTGACCTCAACAAATGTCTATGAAGCACACAATTTGTGCCAGAGTCTGTCTGTTTCTAGAGTTCAAAATATCCATAACCATTCATAGCTTTCAGTGTAGAGACACTTGGAAGAGGCAGATGGTGATAAAAGACATAGATTAACCAAGGTTATAATTTTGAAAAATGAAATGCTAGAAAACAGGAATAAAATGGAGGGTGCCATAAGACCTGTTTTAGGGAAAGAGATTACAAAGATCTTTCAGAGAATGGCTCACTGACCACTTTACAGTAACCCTCAGAAAACAGCTGTTTCATTGTGAATTATGGCACCTTTTTAATAGGTGAACTTTTTTAATAGGTGAACAAGCATATCCCCAAATGAAGCAAATGGGATACTTTCATGGCTATCAATCAATCATTCAACTAATAATGGCAGACGTTTTAGCAGGTTCTTTTTGGCCTGTGGAATTATATTGACTTGTTCAATGATGTTTGAAATGTGACCCTTAAATACAAGCACCACTGTTGAATTTTGTCCAAGAAACTAGATTCTCTGAACCTTTCCAGTAGAAATTAGTTCATTAACTCTTAGGCAAAATGAATTCAATGATAAACAAGCTCAGCTATGAAATATAAGAGTTTTAAAAGATCCTGAAAATCATCTAGTCCAAATTTGTTACTCTGTAGCGGCATAAACAGAAGCACAGAGGGATCAAGTCACTTGCATAAGATTGGTATTATAATTGTGCACATATGCTAGCAACTCTTCTCACACTTTCTTCTGGCACCGTGCAAGCTGGTTAAGAGCACAGACCCTGCAATCATGTCTTTCTGGGTTCAAACACCGACTGTGGGACTTACCAGCTACTGATTGGCTTCCAGCAAGCCATTTAACCTTTGCATCTGCAAAATAATGTACTGTTATTCCCACATCAATTAGATGGGATGATTAAATGCACTAAACAATGTAAAACACTTAGAAAAGTGCTTAGCATATAAACTATGATAGCTTTCCTTCCATTTCCCCCTTCCCTTCTCTTCCATAAAACAATCATTTTCATCATGTATTTGTGTGTGTAGGTGGTTAAATTTAGTTTTATTTAATGACATATACAGTAATTAGTGACTTTTTTGATTCATAGAAATTATTTTGGGGGTGGGCACTATATTTTATCTCCTGAAGAGACTCACTTTCAATTCTCTGGTGGAGATCAATCATCTGCAAGCAATAATATCCCTACTTAGTGTATTTAGAATTATATCCTTGCTGAAGCTGAGGGAAAGGAATTCCCAGGTCAGATTGTAGAAGGGTGGGATTGAAGGTAAGTAAACGCATGACCAACAAGACCAATAAAATATGGCTCCTGTTTGACACTGTTTGCAATCAAGATGGAAATTATGTTGTCCTCCAGAAGCATAATTCTTAGGTGAAAAATTCAGGCTACTTAAAAAAAGTAGCACTGGTTGATGATGAAAATTTTGCAACCCAAGGGAGTCTTTTTTTTCTTTTTCTAGGGATCTCATGATTTATAGATTGGTTGGGTTTGCTTTGTTATTTATCCCATTGTACGTAATCCTTTCATTAGATGTCTTGCAAAAAAGGAACTTAGCAGGAGCTCCTTCTTGGAAGTATTGCTGAGTTGCTGTCATGGATGGAAAAACAACCCTAAAACTGTCCTCTGAAAAGTTCTCAAATGAGGGAACCTTGACCATGACATTCATGTCCTTTGCAAAGTTACTAGTCACTTCATAAGCATTGTGGGGGCAGCAATTCCTACTCTCTTTACTTCATATATATATATATATATATATATATATATATATATATATATTTATATACTACATATATATGTAGTATATAGTAGTAGTATATAATTTTGAGTAACAGGCAATACATCATCCTGAGTATTCTTCCAAGAAAATAACACTCTAAAATATTCTTACACATATTTCTGTCAAATTATTTTGAGATAAATCATATTTCACAATATATTCACACCACTGTCTGAGTCGTAAATACATGAACGTTGGTTATGCTAAATGTTGGACCGACTTTGGAGAGATCAAATTAATATAAAAATGGAGACTCAATGAACTTGCTCAAGATCAGAAAGTAGATTTGTTAGGCTGAGGCAAGAGGAATGTTGTGAACTCAAGGCCTGTGGGGGCTACATAGTCATTTCGAGGGGGACCTGAAGTACATCGCAAGATAGGTCACAAAACCACAGCAACAAAAATCAAATTAATAAAGTGCTCTAAAGGATATAACTGCATATATATTTAAGTGTATAAGATAGATAACCATATTACTGAGTTTTGTTGGATCACTGAACAAAACTGTTTGCAGTCTCACTGTTTGAAAGTCCACTTTTTATGCTTTAATTTTGTAACTTGAAAAACTATTTCTGGGATAATAGTATATAATTTATTAGCTGTTGATTTCCTACTGTTTATTCTTTCTGAAATTCTGTATAATTCTTGTACTCTTTTTCTTTTTCTCCTTAAATAAAATTTTAAAAAATCAAATTAATATTTTGACTACTCCTTGTACAGTTTTCATTTACTGTCTTCAGTATCAAATTTGAGACAATGAGCTAGTCTGTCAAAGAACTAAACACAATGTAGGAATTAAATACAGAAGTTAGACTAGATCTTTGTGGCTTTAATACTTTATGGTCATGCACCAAACCCAGAGGAAACTTTATAACCTCACCCACGAGTTAATTTATCACCGAATCAACTATAAATAACTTTTTCATGAGGGAACTGGATAATATCTATTGTTATAGATGAGCAATACTTATAGCAAAACCTAAGCTCTTGTTAAAATAATCAAAGTTTTGTAATAGTGTTTATGATATTAATAAAAACTTTCAAATCCCCCTATGTCATACACCCATGGTTCAGAAAGAGCTGCCAAAGATGCACTCAAGATGAAGATTTGTGCAGTAAGTTGTAGCCCATACTGGCTTTTGTGGAGTCACAGCTTTAACAATCGAGATTTGTAATAGAGAAGCTGACAGAGTCTCGATGATAGTAACTCCGGAAGCTTCTGTAATGCTGATACAACTCTATTTATGACATTAATGCACGATTATTAAGATCTGCTGAGTACCAGGCAAGAAGAACCTTTAGGATAAAAATTCTTCCCTGCCATCACTTCACTTTCAAAGGCACAGTGATACCAAACTTCCAGCACATGTTCATATATATATATATATATATATATGTATACATATATACATGGCAAGTCTTCAAAATATGTTTAAAATCTTTTTAAATATAAATTTGATATGTTGCTTTTTAAGCAAAAAGATTTGAAGTTTAGGCAGCAGTAAAACTTGTGATTATAGTTTCTAAAAGCTTTTCCTGACATAATCTGAGCTAGTCAATACATTGACCAGGAAGAACATTTCATGTAAGAAAAAGACAGAAAAATAAGATGAATTACAAGGTATTAAGGAAATCTTTTCACTGAACAAAGCATTTTCATTATAATTAGATTATGTAATATCTTCCTTACTTTCAAACAGAGTAGGATATTTGATTTTTAGACAAGCATAGCATGTTACTGTTGTTTCTTTCATTTCTTAAAGGAAAGTTCATGCTCCTTCTTCTTTGCTATGTATTATATTCTTGTCTTTGATAACATTGCTTTCAAGATTACAACATAAAGGAAAATGATTTGAAATAATTTTGTTTTAAGTAAAATACAGAGTGGCTGACAGCAAAGAAAAAGTCATATATGTTATAGTTAGTATTTACTTACAGTCTTTGTGAGTTTGAGCAAATATACCCTGACAAAGATTATACAAGACATATACTCTGATAAACCTTGACTCATATTAAAGTAATTTGGTATCTTAAAAAATAGATCTTGCAAATGTTTTCAATGTAAAGATAACTTTTCATCTCCTTCACATATGATCAAGTGACCTAAAGAAAGGTCAGCTTTATACCGTCTGCAATCTATGATACAGAGAACACTACATTCATGAACAACTTCATGGAGTGGGTCCAGCTAAAAAATTAATGTATTTAAAATTAGAAAGAATCATTGTTTCCCATTCAGTATATTACATTATTAGTCTGTTAGAACACTTACTGTCTCCTCCAAAACATTCAAGCGTAAGTATACACATGCACACTCATACATGAACCATAGGAAACAAATAATAGTTATTTTCCCCTGTAAACATAAGTAGTTGCATACTACCGCATCCCATGTTTAGGTTGAGAAGGCTGTTACTAGGACCATACCTCTTAGACCGGGCAGGCCTGGTATACCGGTTTGTCCAGGGGCACCTCTGTCTCCTTTTTCACCTCTGGGTCCAGGGGGACCTTTAAAAAATTACATTGCTCATCATAGTTGTAAAGTTCAAGTAAAACGTATTTGTCATTTGTCAAGACAATTATATAAGGAAATCTAAAATATTTTATTTGTTCATTAATAGAATGTAACTAATAAAGCAGATCTTTCTAAATAGAAGAATACTCATTTTTTAAAATACTGTGATGGCCTCTTTTGACAAGGATGACATAGTTCTTGACTAAGTCTCCTAAATACATATCGTTTAGGTGCAACTAACACTTTTCTATATTCTAAGAACCTGGGGAAAAAGAAGGTGCTACAGTAACATTGAACAATATTAGTATTGTTCACACAATAGGCAGATTTCATTATGTTGTATTAGATACTATATAGAAGATGTATAAGTAAAGACTTATAAACAGGTTTGATATTCTCAAGGGAAACAAAAATTCATGCACTAAAACAACCAAAAACCATACTGATGGTACTGATATAAACTCATGTATCTGTCAGAGAGATAGAGATCAGCATGAATGGTAAAAGATGCACAAGACCTTTTTTAAAAGTTGAATTGGAACCCCAATTGAAAGAATAAGCACAATGAAAAAAATGAAAAAATTCTCAAGAAGTGGGAAAGACATGGGAATAGATGGAAAAGAGAAATATTTTTTCAACTAAAATATTAAGTAGATCCCTAGAACACTATAGGAATTACAAAATAAGATGGAGAGATTACACAGAAAACTTTGACTGCTTGGCTACCCAGTTTCTCATGTGGCCACCTTGGTACTGTGTTTATATTGACTTAGTAACACAGACATCTCCTTATCACCTCTTCAGAATGACTGTACCATGTTTCTTGGAATTAAAGACAATCCTCCCTGAATTTCCTCATCTTTCTCAATTGTACAAGACAGTGTTCTTTCCTCCACTTAAGGTAGAGCATTTAATTATCTTTTTAATTCCATAAGAAAAAAAAAAACCTTGGTCCATAAAGTGGGCATTTTTAATTGCTGTAGTTTGGCCTACTATGCAACCTCAAACACCTCACACAACTGTTAAGCATCCCTCATGGGAGACTGCTTTTTATAAACTTTAATTAAGTCAGGAATTATAATTTGCACACAATTCCAGGAGAACTAACAAAACATAACTTCCATGAGTAAGTGTACTCCACCCATTTCTTCTGCTTCTTTTGACATCCTCATCCCTAGTTCTCAATTTATCTGATTTTTTTTTTCTATTTTTCAAGATTCAACTTAGGATTTAGAAGACCAAGATATCCATGGTTCTTCCCAATGTCACATTTTGCCTTTCTTTTCATATTCAAAAATGGACAGTAATATTTAATAATATTTTATTACAAAAAAGAAAATATATTTTTGTAGGGCATCTCTTCCTCTCTCTATATATATATATTTATCTATATGACTGTGTACATTTTTCACGTAATCATCAGGTAAATTACACACTACTGTGTATCATGTAAGTAATCCTGGAATTTTAGGGTGCAGCTTAATTGTTGAGAGACTTATATTTAGATGTTGCACAACACATCTTAACTCTTTATCAGTGAGAATCCATGTGTATCGCTTAGTCTATCCAGAAAATTGCAGTTCTTCTCAAAAGAGGGGATTTAGAATCTACCACCATGATCAGAGCTACATTCTGTTCATTACTACATAGTGATAAATGAGGAGAGAAGCTGTGTGCAATCTGTACAAGAATTTCATAAGAGAATAAAATGTATAGTTCTTAAAGATGGTGTTTTTAAAAGAACTGCACAAGCGAAGACTTTAATTTAGCAATTAGGGATCCAATGTGAGACACAGGCATTCCAGAGATACCTAGAATATGTTAGACGAGAAGCAAATTCCGCAGACCAGAGTAATAGTAGTAGACCAAAGAAACTGAGGAAGTTTCTTTGGAATATGATACACAAGTCAAGCTAAGAAGACTGTTAGATGGATTTTAGGGGAGGTGAGACCAGCATAAAAGTCAAAGGTAGTTCTAGGATCTTGAAGTGAGCACCTGGCTGCACAGTGCTACCACTGACAGAAAGTCAGGACCAGCAACAGGTGTGGAGCGGGTGGGAAAAGAGTAGAGGGTTGGTTTGGGCTTGAAGAGATTTGGATGCTTAACTGAAAGCAAAACCGGTGTCTAATTGTTAATGAAAAGTAGATTAATTTAAATTTTTACCTGTTTAAATAATGTATACAGTATGTTTTCTATATAAAATATAAAGTACAGTAATAAAGAAAATACCCATAAAACATTACAATCCAAGAAATAAACATCTACTTAAGGGCCTCCATCTCCTTCATCTACTTCCTTTTCAGATGCAAATCTGAGTTTGATTTTCTTATTTTCTTTCACTTAAAAAATAACCATGCATTTAAATATGTATGTGGATATAAATATACATTAATTAATACTGCTAAATTGTGAGCATTAATATCACAAATTATGCAATATAGTTTCCTGGGGCTTACATTTTTTGTTAACACTTGGATTATTGAACTTTTTATTTTTCCTAAACAAGTATATGTAAAATGAAGTCTCATGAAGTTCCTGGTGTCTGTTCTTTAATTACTGATGAGAAAAACATTAAAACCATGAAGTAGATATTAAGCATCAAAGTAGAATGATCAGACATGACTTTAGAGTTATAGAGGGAAAGATAGAAATGTGCAGAAACAATATTCAAAGATGTGAAAACTCACAATGTTCCTATTAATGATAAACATAAATCCATTGACCCACAAAACAGAAACTCAGATAGATTCTCAAAAAACCATGAATTAATAAATTTATTGATATTAGACACAGAGAATGATATAAAATTAATAGCAGTCATTTTAGGAGCATTAAGAAAAGCCAGATGCCAAGGAAAATTTTTCTTAAAAATACAATTTATATCTATCTATCTATCTAGTCTGCATTGCATATGAAAAATATTTTTTGATGTTACTACCTAATATAGTATGATATTCACACTGAATTTATATCATATTAGATTTTATAAGTAATTCAGGAGTGATTCAAATTATGCAGAAGGAGAGACTTGTATAGCCACAGATTTTTGTATTTATGCAGGTACTGGAACCAATATCCCATTGATACAGAAAAACCACAGTACCACAGAACTATGTATGTGGTAAGGTAATTTTGAAGAGCAAGATTTAAAAAAGAGAAAATGAGGTAAAAACTCTTCACTATCAATGGGCTTTCACTGAGTGAACTTCCAAAACATATTCTCTAATCAGAAAGAAAATTATCCCAAAAAAGGTAGCTGAGATTCATTTAGAAGGTGAACAATTGATATACTCACAAGCAAATCTAAATACTGTCTTTATGAAGAAAATTACTGTAATATTTATTGTCTAAATTCTTGGTTTTAAAAAGTCTGAGAAATAAAAATGAACTTCATTTAAACATCAAAAACAAAAAAAAAACAGAAAAAGATCATCAGACAGAATATTTTAAGTATCATACATATTTCAGAATAAAATCTATGATGTTCATCAACTTTAGACTTTATTAAAATACATTTAACAGGCAGCCAATAAGAAAATAGGAATATGTTTTAAAGTTCTCAAAATCTCTTTTTGTAACACTGATAGAAAATTTAATGAGAAAAAACTCAATCAATTAAAAAACACACAAGAAAAGGAAGGAAAAGAAATGTAAAAATAAACTGGAAAAGCACAATATAAAAGTAAGATTGTAGAAAAAATATAGCAAAAAAACTGTTACATAAAACAAATAAAAGAATATAAATGTTCCAAAACTTTGGAAATAAAATGTGGAAAATATCCACAGTGTAAAACTAACTGAAAGTTAGTGCAAAAATATATATGATTTGTGCTTATTAAAATATGCAATAGTGAATTCACCTAGTTTTACTAACAAGAATTGAAAAAGATATCTACAAATTATCATTATTTTAATTAACCTATTTATAGTACAGTCAGGTAAGAAGTAAGAAAGGATTGGAAATTTTGAAAAACAGAATTAACAGACTTAGTTTGTGGACATATAAACAACTTGTATTTATGTAACACTTGTATTAATCTTTAACACAGTTCGGTATACTCATCAACAAGATACTCATTGGATTTTAATGTATTTATTTACACCTTTCTCTTTAGGTGGTAGCCACGTGTTATCCTTGATCTGATGTTTGATCTGATCTTAGGATTCCCTCTATTCATTTATTATAAATAAATACTTAAAAAATATTTGTTTTAAACCACAGAACTTCAAATCCCAACTTTAGACATGATATTCTTGGGAAAAATAGCAAAACATTTTACCTTGAATCAAAGTGATATTTCTCAGTGTCAGAGAATGTTCCCAATCTTTCAATCTGAGATCATTGGTGACATTATTCAGCACTTTCAATTCTTTCTTTATTTCCTCTTCTATGTGTTCTTGTTCTTCTTTCAGAGACTTAATTTCTGCTGATGCATTGTATACATGCTCCTTCAATTTACTAATATCCTGCGAATAGTGGGCATTCACAATTTTTGTTATAATTATCAAATATATAATTTCAAGAAATCTTGTATTTTATAAAATCTTCAGATTTTATAAAACATATAATATTATAGAGATTCTATGGATAAAGAATACAAAAGTTAGGAAACTACTTTAAAATAGTAGTTCTTTGGCTGTGAAGCATTTCCTCTTTTAACTAAATATCCAAAATTTTGCAGGCTAAGCCAAAGCAATCTCCCCAAATCAGTTCAATGTATATGTGAGGGAGGTTTCTATTCCCAAATATTTTGCTGTCAAGTGATAAAAATTAGAACTTGTCATATGATTTTTCATTTATCTGAAGTGTTCTTTAGAGTATACATAAGTTGACAACATATTTCAATTCTTTAAATTTTCTGAATTTATACATTAAATTGTTTTCCAGCAATAACCAAAGTTTAATGTTCTAATTCTCAGTGATAGTGAATATCAAGGAAAATTTTTATATTCTAAAAAACCTCAGAGTAGCATACTGATTGCATTTTACTTTAAATTTCTGTCACTTTTATATGTAAAGTTTTATTATTATTTTCTGTTATCTATTATATACATATTTTATGTGTATTTATATACCAGCACACACACACATACAGAGTTTGTGAACAAGAGATAAGAGCACCATGTTCTGGAATATGATTTTATTTCATAATATATTAAGAATCTTACTTATTAAATATTTAAAGACAGGCTTATTTTCAATAATTTAGTGCAACTGTACTGAGTATATCTTTAAAATTTTAAGACTTTTTAAAACTTTCTTTTTTAGTAGTAGTATATATTAACTATACAAACTCATAAGTTTGATTATGGCATATTTAGAATGCATGTACCATACCTTGATCCTAAGGTTGATTTCATTGAAGTAACTAAAAATTGTTGCAAATGTGTCATTAGTTCCACATACATAGTAAAAGTTTGGAAACTGGCAAGTGATTTTTCTATTTAGAAACCTGAAATTGTCATTGAAAACTATACATGATGCTCACATTTGTAAAATTTCACTTGGAATTGTTGTTATTGGGTGGCACAAAATGGATTTTATGTTATCAAAATCCTATACCATATTGATACACACTTTCCACACTCTGCCAACAGTAGCACTGTTGGAAATACACATTGAACTTTCAGTCTTTCCTGTGAAAAACAGAGATGATACATTCTACCCATCATCCATACAGAGTATGGATTTTCTTCCTTTTCCTTTCAAATTAATGATTAGTCTATCCTTGAGAAGTAAAATGTTAATATTACTTACGGATCTTTTTTCCAAAGATAATTTACTGATTTTTCCTTTCATGTAACTCACTTATTCTCTCACTGGAAATTTGCCTTCCAATGGTTTTCTAATGTGGTTGGCACTATACCACTTAGAGTGGACTCAAAAATATTCTGTCATTTTTGCTGGACTTTGCACATTACCAAATCAGGAGTGCTTTTTTTCCATTTTGTCTATCTTCTTTCTTGCTTCTGATCTCATTTCTACATACTAGATCTTTTCTCTTCCAGTTAATCAAAATCTATTACAATTGGTATTGTATCTTCCTCTGCTTTTCACATCCCTCATCCCTATTCTTGATAGTATATTTTTGAAATAAACGTATTGTTATCAACAATGTGTGAAACATTGCCTTACATATTTTAGGAAATGAGAGAAAGGAATGAAATATTAAGGTTCTTGCTGAGATGAGATGTCCAACAAAATCATCATGGTTATAGAATGGTGCCATATCTTGGAACAACTTAAAATGACAAGAAGTAAAAATTCCAAAGTTTTAAATGACTGAATATCAAAAACTACAGAAATGAAGGATTCATTTACTTATTTAATCCACTTTTAGACAATAATTCCATTGGTTTTCATATGCTTTGATAAATTTAGAGATGTATTTTTGCTTATCGGCTTAAAAATCACTTTTGTAATGATGTTTTTATTAAAAAAAACTTTTTAAAGAATGGATCTATCTAAGATAGATTTCCTCCAATGATATTGGGATCATTTAACTAATGATTGAAATAGATCCTATATATTTTATTGTATGATCATTTTTACATGGGTAGTGAAATATTATTTATTTTCCATTCATTGAAAAGCAAATAGAATTACTCAACAATAGAATTGCAACTTAAAAACACAGTTTCTTAATTTCTTTCTCATAAGAGCAAGGTAAATCAGATCTTAATCAGAGCTGGTACAAAGTGCTGTAACACAGAAGTCATAAAGTTATAGCTCATGGACCAAGTTCAACTCACAGACTATTTCTATAAATAAATGGTTGTATCAAAACATCTTAATTTCTGTACATATTGTATATGTTTGATGCTTTCAAGTTAAATGTAGATGTGACAAATGTATGGTGCCCAAAGCCTAAAGTGCTTTTTTGTGGTCTGTTATAAAGACATTTTACTAAAAACTGGTCTAGAGTAAGTCTTGTTCTACTTGACAGTAATTTAAGGGACTATTTGCTCATTTTGCATTTTGATTTTGCTGAAACTTTTCCTTTGTTGTGATTCTCAATGACAATGATTGTCATAGTCTTCATAGAAACAGAAACTTTATTGTGTACATTATCCTATTATGGTAATATTGTAATCATACATTGCTGTCATACTATAATCTTAGGATGGTAATACATACATGTTATTCAAAATTTAATTGTTTAGTTTTAGCTGCTTGTATACATATGAACAGTCAAAACTCTTAAGAAAAACAAAATAATTCAAAGTTCAATTTTGTAAGATAGTCATGTAAATAAGATTTCCAGTCCTTTGGTGAAGAAATATTGATTCTATTGTGAAATTCACAAATATAAGGTGATTAGTTATACATATATGCTGAAATAATCTAAAAATTACACTTAACTTTAACAGTCTAAGAGGGCACTATAATGGCGTATATAAAATTAAGGTACCTTAAAGAACTCTACATGCATTGAAAAACAATTGCATTTTTTGCTAGGAATCTGGAAAAAGCACCACTAAAGGCACTTGAAACCTTTCACACAGCTTACCAGATGAGTCAGGGTAAATAGCACCGAGTTGAAATAGGGCTGGCATGCTTTGCTTTCCTAGACCACCCGAGGAGATAGAATCTGGATGGACTTAATTCCAGAAAGTGACCTTGCTGTACTAAAGTTCTTACCTCTTGTTGCTTCAGTGTAGTCTCTTGGACTTTTTTATTCAATGTTTCTATACTGAGCTGCAGATCAAGCAAGGTCGTGTTCAGACTTACTAAGGACTTGGAGATTTCATCTACCGCACTCTCATGTTCTTGGACTGAGGAAACTAAGTTATTTAGCTGCAGAAAAACACTGTTAAGTCTTTGATCAGTTGTCATGCTGAAATTTTGGAAGTTTTCTGAACCTATGAAACTGGCTTCTGCATCTGAAATGTCCTGGATTCTTCTCTCAATGTTGCTGATGTGTTCCAAAACAAATTCTTGAAATTTCATTGCATCTTCACTGCCATTTCCTTTTCCCAGACTTTGAGACATGGCACTTGCATGAGGTGAACCAACCGTGCAGTTCTTCATTTCCCTCTTCAGAAGATGAGCTGGATATTTAAGTAAATATGAATCAAGTCATGACTTATGTGCTTACATGCGTACATCAATCCATACTACTTCCACTTATTTCCTGCCATTATAACACGTTGAATACTATCATAAATTGAGTATTTACTTTAAACATATGACTGAATCACACTCAGTAGATCACGAAGTCTCCCTTTCACATTTTAGATTGCATTTTATTCCAGGGTTATGTGATATATGATCTATAAATTACTTTTAATGAAATGTTATAAATATTCATTAATATTATCTAATATGTTACACAAAAATAATTCAATAACCACACTGTATTTTATGTATTGCTTTACCAGATTTATTTTTTAAAAAATCCCTATTTCTAGTTTGCTTGTTTTCACAATATATTAGTCTTAGTGAATAATCTTAGCATAAATTATCTCCTGAAGAAAAATTCTATCCAACAGTGTTTGAGGAGCATACTGAACTGTTGATACATATTTCCATATGGGCATGTTTTCTAAGCCAGTTAGTTATCCTTCCAAAGTAATCTAAAGCAAAGTACTATATAGTTTCCAAAAAGAAAAAATTAATCCAAAATAATACACAATGAATAAAAAGTTAAACACCATTTTATTACTATATGTAGTGGGTAAAATTTCACAATTTTCTGTATCTCTATATTCATATTTATCATCTACACACATATATATATCTATATATATGCATGTTTTAGTCACAATTATTTAACAAAAATAACTTTATATAGTTTTTAAATATACACCAGAGTCTGTTAGTTTTCTATATGGTAGTACTGATGGTTTTTAGATGAGATAATACACATACACTCGTGAGTGCACACACACACACACACACAGACTTCCATTCTTAACTCAGGACACCTGTTACATGAGTGTGAGGACCAGGCTTAATGATTCTGGAATCCCGCACCACTCCTCACTATGTTTCTATGGGCAACGTACTTAAATTTGCCAGGTTTACATTTCCCCAGAGAGAAAGGTAATATTTACCTCAATAGTGATTTGCACCTGTGTGAAACAAAGCATGTAAATTCTCTACCAAATAAACTGACACAAATGCAAACTCTGTTCAACTATAAAGTGCCTATTCATGAAAGGTATTGTCTTAGTATAACGCCAATAGTAGTCACTACTTTTAGTTAAAGATGTGTCTCATGATCATAGCTAAATAATTATATTGAGAATAACTATTTAAAAAAAAATTTTTTTAAATAGGTACCGGGGATCAAACTCAGGACCGCCTGCTTGCAAGGCAGGTGCTTACGGCGCTGAGCTAAATTCCCAGCCCTGAGATTTTACTTGTTAAATTCCTTTAATATTAGCTTTTTAAAGTTAATAAACCATGAGTAATAACATGTTGATGTTATTTATAACAGTGATACCATTGTTTGTTTCTTTAACATCAAATAAAACTAATTTAGACTTTATTGCTTTTAACAAAATTTTCAACTCTTTATCTAATAGCTAGATGAACAGTGGCAGAGCACTTATCTTCCAAAATTCATTTATTTAATTGTCATTGGATGGATCATATTTTGTGAAATCATTACTTCATACATGGAAGCAGACAATATTTTAGAACCAATGCAAATACCTAAATAGAAAGTTATATTGATTCTACAGATCACGTTTACTTCTTCATGTGGGTAGTATCTTTTTGTATCCAAAATTTATATTTTATTGCAAAGGTTTTTTTTTTTAATGTCTTTTGGAGACAGAGTTTTAGGTTTGTCTTGAACACAGTATGTATCCCAATCCTCAAATTCACAGAAATTCTCCTGGCTCAGCCTTGTGAGTACTGGGATTATAGGTTTGTATTCCACATCTGACCCTGAGTGGAGTAGAAATTTTTACATGTCAGCTTTAGACTGTATCCTCTTGTCCCAGACAACATTATATTGTAATGCTCTGGCATGAACTCAATAGTGTCTTTAAGAAAATATATATGGAGTAAATCATATATTTAAGCATATGGGGTAAATCATATAATTAAGAAAATATCTTTCAACAGGAAGCATGTTAAATTTAATTAGCTACTCCATGAAATATTTTATTTCATCCATCAATTCATAATTCCTAAACAGAGTAACCTCTACAATTTTAGTAATATATTTTGTCCATATTTGTAGATTTTTAGTATCAGGTGGAGACATATTGCATTTGGGGTCATTTTTGAAAAATATTCTGACCTACAGGTTACTAACTAGATAATCATTGTTCATTATGAATGAGTGACTGACACTGTGAATTGTTTTCTAAATTCTGTGAATTTAGTACTGATGTGAAACTGAAATACTTTTAGTCAATCTTAGTAGGGTAGTTTTAGGAAACTAGTATAGAGCTAATAACTTCAACCAAAGATGCATCTTTCAGTTATGCACTTTGAATTTCAGATAACATACACAGAGAACACAGAGAAAACATTCACTCAACAGGAAGTTCATTCATTTCAGGTACATCAGGACCTTTTATGTTAAATGGCACATTTTGTTTGCTTGTAGGTTTGGTTGTTGTGAATGCATTGTGTTTTCATAGTTGAATTTTTGTTTGTGGTTGTTTTTAATGACTGCTATGGATTTTTTCACATGGAAATATATTTTCTGGATAAAATCATGACAACACCATTTGGGATTTTTGAGTTTTAGGCTGGTTGCTTGGTTGTAGTTGCTTTTAAATTGGAAAACTATATTTTTTAATAAAAATTCAATTACACTGGGAGACAATAAACTATGGAGTTTAAGATATAGAATTTATAGAGGACAACTATAGCTCTGTTACCGAGGAGTCTGTTTCATTGTGTCCATAATGAGGGTAGTTATAGAGTGTGCTTATATGCTAAATATAACAGTATATTAAGATAATCTGTGGAAAGTTTATAGCCCAATGTCTGGTCAAAGAAATTAGTAAAAAAAAATAGCTACTCTTATGTTTCCATTTTTATTTTTTTCTGGGTGGAATTTTGGCTCTATCTTGGAATTCCTCCTTAGATTGTCCCTTAACAGGAAATTGAGTTTGTATTTAGGAGCATTTTATTGTTAGGCTAATTAGTATGCAGTTAGAATTGCATTTTATTCAAAGCCTATACCTTGATAGAACATATGACCAGGCACTTTGTCAGCCACAGAGAAGAGGAGAGTGGTAAGAGATATAAACTAAATTGCCAATCAAAATCCATCAAACACATAAAATGTTTTACATAGGAAAATGATGTTTAAATATTGTTAAGGTATATAGTCCCACCCTTATTTAGATCTTCAAATTCATCTCCACACTCCCCCAAAAATATATCTGTAGAGAAAATCATATTGCCATTAATGCAATCCATATTTTTCCTTGGAAAGGTGCTTTAATCTTATTTTTAGAGGTTTTAAATAAAAGCCATGAAACATGTAGTTATGTAAACTGTATAAGCATTAAATGATACATTATTTTAAAATGAAAAATTTTTTCTACTCTCAACAATAGACATAGAAGATCTACACGTTAAGCTTGTTTTTATACTATATGCATTGCTAACGTATGTTATTCTGTCTTGTTTTGTTTTCACATTGGGCAAGAATACTTATCGTAAATTTGGGGTCCGTCCTTAGAAAGATTATAGGACTTTACAGGATGAGGTATTTTTTAAATAGTCCAAATTGTTCTATATGACTTTCATATATTATTTGTCTTACTCTCTGCTGTTTTGCCTAGTTTTTAGTGTACCTGCTGCTGAAACAAGTACTATTTTGCCTACTTTTAAAAGTCTATTTCTTTCCACTTAACACTTCTGAAACTATTTCTTATATTAATAAATCTGAGGGACACATTGTATCCAAAAACTGCTTCCTGAATCTACTATCTATATCAAACTGAAAGCCACTTGAGATCTAGAGTACTGTACCTGCCACTATGCTGATGACAGGTATCAGGACGACAAACACCAGGAGATACAGGGCGATGAGTGCAGCTTTGAAGGACTTCAGCTTCTCTTGGAGGCCGTTTTTAGGATCTAAAGAAAAAAGTCCCAACATATTGTTAGAATTTTGTAATTGTCACTTATTTTCTTACTATCAATCCTATTAGAATTAAAAAATGAATAAAATCCTTACTTACAAAGTAGGAAGCCAAACGTAGGCGCAGAAAAAGCTGATACAGATCTCATTGTGAACATTTGATGTGTTTTTCCATTCACTAAATTTCCTTGAGTTCTGCTGGTAAATTTTAATATTGACACTGATATATGCGAGCATACATTGTACTTTTCCTATGTATATTATGTGGCAGTATATTTTAGGTTAAATAAAATTCTCCAAGCAATTGTAATTTTTTTCATATTTTAATGAGAGTAATGTTTATTTTTAATGACTTAAGCAAAGTTAATTTTCTTTTCAAGTTCAATCTTAATAGGTTTATATTCATATACTTCTTATGCTTTGAATACAAAATAAAAATGAGTTTTAAATGGAATAAACAAAATGATTTGTAATTACTAAGCTTCAGTGTAGATCACTGAAGCCTATCCTTGGGATATTTTAGATCATATTAAAGTAACAATAATCTTTTAGCTTTATTCTAAATTTAGTCTTAAATGGAACAGTGATTCATAAAATGGAATGTTAATTGTGGGAGAAGTGCATTGAGATAGAGGCAAACAGTTGCAGAAGATTTTTCTCTAAGTAAAAGAACAAAATGTTCATTAGAAATTTTTCCCTCTGGTTACTTATCTTATTGTTCAAGAAAAAAGAAGTAACATTTGCTCTCTGTTTGCAAACATGTAAACTAAAAGCAATATATAAGATATTGCTCTATGACATTGTATGAGTTATTGTCAGAAAACAATCTCAAAAGCAGAGTAAAGAAAAAAGGAAAGAAAGAGGAAGAAAAGACTTAAGAAATAAAGAAAAATAACCCATGACACAAGCAAGACGGGCCATTGCATCTTTCAAGATGGCTAACCCTGGAGCCTGTGTGTGGTCTTTCTTACTTTTAATTAATCATCACAAATTCTTCATATTCTACCTAATATCTTACAAAATTTGCCATTGCCTCCATCCTTTCTTGACATTCATTCATTATCTATATCAGCTTTTGCTTTATCGTTTTTCATGGGCATCACATTGATATCACAACCTCCCATCCATCTTTTACACAACACACAAGATCTATCTGGGTTCTCTATTCCAGTCTTGGCTTTGTGGGAATGCACATGTAATCCCTGAAAAACTTTATGTGTGTTGCTTCTGCTAACTGAGATAGCTTTCTAATCCCCTTCTTTCCACTCATGCCCTTGGATACAGGTATTTATCCTTCCAACCTTGGTAACATTGTAAGAAATCCTTTCCTGTCACCTTAACCAAGTCTATCTAGTTAAAGCTGAATATTGTTTGTTTTGAGTTCCCACTATACTCTGTTGAAATTTATTATGGGAAGAAATATGTGTCTCTCCAAAATATGTTTATGCACTAACCCCAATTACCTATGAAAATGTTCTTGATTGGAAATAGGAGCTTTGTACTGTACTCAAATTAAACTGGTATCATACTGGATTAGGGTCAGCCCTAATCTAATGATTGGAGTCTTCCCAGAAAAATTACACAGGAAGAAATAACAAAGAAGTCAGCACAGATTAGAGTGATGAAGCCACATACAAGGCACACCATGAAGTGCCAGGACCTGCTAGACTCTACAAAATGTGAAAACATTCTTTCCTACAGCTATTGGAAGGGCTGGTGGTCCTTTGTACACTTTGGTTTCAGAATTTTAGAACTCATAACTATGGTATATATTCATTCACTTATTTATTGATTCATTGACTACAGTGCTGGAGATTGACCCCCAGGCCCTTGCACTAAGCTACATGACCCTTGCCCTCTAATTCTGAGATAGGATTTGTTCAGTTGTTAAATTGCTCACCTTGATTAATCCTGTTGTTCTCAAATATATAATTTGTTGTTTTTTTTACAGTAACCCTAGAAAACTAAATAAGCACCCACCACTCCTGACCACACTATCCCCCATCTACTTACTGGGAGGAAGCAGTGCCGTCATTGAACGAGCATCAAATTTCACAGAATCTGAATAGATATCAAGCTCTTCCTGGTGATCAAGAAAGATGTTCCGTGACTCCATAATGCTGTCAAACACAGAATAAAACATAATATGACCACATTAAATGCCCAGGGCTCTACATAATGCTCGAAATTGAACTGTGTAATCAAAATTATATTCCAGCAAAGAAAAATATACAGCTAATTATTTAAATTTATACATACATCATTTGTGGTAAGACATTACATTTATTTGATAGTTTTAGTTTTAACGTAAAAATATTTACCAGAAACCTACTTTTATGCAAAAATGTGAGAAAAAGTAGCTTTGTAAAATAAAAATTCATTATTTCAAATGACAGAAAATTACCATATAGCAGATAAGAAAAAAGGTAATTTCTTCAAAGGAAGAAATAGTTATGCAGACTTGAAACAACTATTTTCTGTGATCTTTTATCAGAAGTTGAGGATTAAATTAATTAAGATTAATTCCAGAAGCCAACTTTTCCTTGCTAAGGGTTTTATTCATGAGTTTAGAGACTAAACTCTAGCCATTAGGTTGAGGTTCATAGGAAAAGAACCTGTCTTAGTTTCCTTTCTCTTGTTGAGATAAAATATCTGACATCCAAAGTGAAGCAAGGAAAGGTTATTTAGTTTACAGTTTTTGGAGGTTTCAGTCCATATTCAGCAGGCTCCAATGCAGGGTAGCATGGCTGAGGGGCAGCCATTCATAATGGCCACAAATGACAAGGAGAAAGCACACCTACTTCCTTGCCCTATGTTGTATGTTGGCTCCGCCCCTAGGTGGGTGCAGCACTCACACCTCCAATCCCAGTGCTGGACAATGAACCAATCACAAAAGCAGGATTCAGTTGCCTCCATGACTGAATGAGGTTTTTGGGGGAAATTTAAACAAACCAAAACAGAACCTATCCCTCTCTTTTCTTCCTTCCTTTTCTCCTTTCTTCTTTCCTTCCTTCCCTTCCAGCCCTCTTTTTCTTTTGTTTTTTTGACTTTTTTCTTCATAAGTATAATCAGTATTCTGTGACACTATCTATAACTATCTATGTTACCATGTGTCAGAGCATGAAGGGTTTCATGCTCAGCATTTCTAATATTTGTGGAGAAAGGGCAGTGGTCAAGAATTTGTAATTCTTCCTGAATGAGTACTAAGTTACAGTTAGATGAGAGCAAGAAGTTCTGATGTACTATATAGCACAGTAGGGTAATTGCAGTTAACAGTAAAGTGCTACACATTTCAAAAAGTCATGATAAAAGACCATGAAATTTTCATCATAAAGAAATAACAAATGAGGAGGTGGATTATTTAACCTGATTTTTAAAATTTTTAGTTTACTTTTACAAGTGTGTAGTACATAATGTTTATATTCTTTGTGAGAACTTGGTACTATACATGTAGATAGTCTATCTTCATTTTTGTTTTATACTCTGTATCTTCTGCCCCCCTTTACCTATCCTTTGATCTCATTCCTTTATTGTGTGTACACATTTCAATACATACTGCCTACAATCATTGTGTGGAGTTGATAACTGTGCATTATACATAACAGTTCCTTTTAATCAACTTGCTTTTGTTGTCATACAATGTATATTCACAGTATATAAAAACATTGTGTTATATACCACTAGTGTGTACAGTTTCTATTTTTATGTACAAATGAAAATGAATTTTAATCAGGGCTGGGAATGTAGCTAAGCAGTAGACTGTTCATGGGGCACATAGGAAGCTTTGGATTAAGTCTCTAGCACTGCATACATATGCACATACATATGTACGTACAAGTAGCATATATATATAAGTTTAAGTTAAAAATTAAAAATAAATATATCAATTAAGAATTGATATATCATATATGAATTTCTCTTTTCTTGTTTTTGTTTTTGTTTATAGTGCTGGGATGTAATGAAGACCTCAAATACCTTATGCACATGCTCTAACATCTCCAACTCCTAAAGTTCTGCTTGAAAAATTAATAATGTTGATTGCAAATAAAACAAAAAAGAACTGACAGTTCTAATAATTGCTCAACAGATATTCTGCTGCTGATCTTAGGAGCACATTTAAAGAATATTTTCTGTGAAAAGAAAGTATGTAGTTTTTTCTTTTGCTTTGTTTTGGTTGTCAGGCACTATTCATTTTATTTGATTGATAATTTAGCATAAAGTCAGCACCTTCAGATCATTTATTTCCTCAAATGTTGAGTAGTGGATTTAGCACTGCACAGTTTTAATAGAGCACACTGGCAAATCCAGGACCCCAAAAGTAAATCCAAGCCAAAAATACAATTTTTCATACAAAAGATTGATCCTGCTTTGGGAAGAGACACTGACAATTAGAGATGTGACTCAATTTCTACCGACATATTTTTTCAAGTACAATAAGGAAATGGTTTATTTGGCTATTTGCTATGACAGTCTTTGAAACTACATTATCTGAAAATTGATTTCTACCAACCCTGTGTTGATCTGTCCAAGGACTGTGTTCTTTAAGTGATTTGATTTCTGTGGGTGAAGTGCATGGAGTAGTATAGCACTGGTACCTAAATTCTTCTCTTTTCTGAGACTGAGGCAAAGTAAAAATAATAAAGAAGCCAGGAATAATGACATGTCCCTAGAGACTCACATTCCTTTGAGGCGAGGAGAGGAGGATCGCTGGACCCCAAAAGTACAACACTAATCTTAGCAACACAGTGAGATTCCAACTCAAAAATAAAAATAATCTGAAAAAATTGGAAGAAATTAATTTGGACCATTCAGATCCAGTTTTTACTTCCACTTATTTCTTTTTAATCTACTCTATCATGAAATTTGGATAAGAGTTCTATCATACAAAGGGAATGAGCAAACAAGCAAACAATTTCTGAGGTAACTGTAATTTAGCTAAATTAACTTCAAACTATAATTCAAAGTAACTGAGGATATGTGGTAAAGTTTTTAACCATGAATTCAGTCAATAGAGAAGAGTCACAAAGACTGTGTCCACACTCAGCTGGTATATGACTAGAAATATTTTCCTTTCTGGCTGCCTGCTTTTCCCTTCTCCTGGCTTTGGTCCTCATATTTGAGATATTCTGACTATTTTCCCTTAAATGAAAAAGAAACGCTTTAGATTACTACTTCGTTCTCACCTACAAATGTTTATGCAAAAGAGGCGGACTCTTGAATCAGAAAACATCTCCAGACTGAACAACAGAAGGCCAGGAAAATGCCTGTTTGGTTCAAAATTATTTTACTACAGCACAGTAAGTACTTGTTAAATAAATGATTTGGTTTGCTTTCTGTAAGACATTAGTCTTGTATATTCCATTTGTTTTTGTCCATGAAATAAGATGGATCTTTGGGGAAAAAAAGGGGATGGGCAACTATTCTCCTTGTATTTTCAAGTTCACAAGCCTCTTTGAGAACTAGAGCCCTTCCGGTCTCCCAAATGTGGGTGAGGAGACAGGAAATGCACAGTTCCGTCAGCAACATTTCCTTTAGCGGTCTGACTGCTGACAGATTTTTATTTATTTTATTATTATTATTATTATTTTAAATCTGTACTGGGGATTGAATTCACGAACTTGCGTTTGCCAGGCAGGCCCTTATGCCCCTGAGGTAAATCCTAGGCCCAAGGTCTTTAATAAACATTCATTTTCATGAAAAAAAAATATCTTCATGCATTTCAGCAACAACATAGATTAATCAAATTTGGGGGGAGTATATTTCTCAGATGTCCTGTGATTGTTTATCTATCCATTCACCTAGAGAGAGCTGACCTTTATTAAACCTATATGACTGCTTCTTATACAACAAAACTTATATTTTAAAGAATCATTTTGTAGAATTTACTACAGTGCTCTATCCGTGCCTCAGTGAAGTGGCATAAATGTTATTTTTATCCACACATTACTGAGTCATTATACCAAATCATTTACCAAGGCATTATATATAACAAGAACTGTGCAAGTAAGCAGGAAGTTGAGATCAACGTGTGTAGAACACTCTCAGCGATTCAAAGATCTGAGACACTGTTAGAAAAAACAAATTGTAAATATCCTCCTGAACTGTGATATGCACAGCAGGCACAGGCATTAGACAAAAGGAAGTGATTAACTTTTGGTAGAAGCACAAAAAAGATATATTTTATCAGTGTTTTGAAAAATGAGCAGAAATTGGGGATGAGATTATTGGAGACTGAAAAACATGTTACAAAACATAAATCTATGAACAACATAGGGTTTCAAGTGGATTAGAGATGGGAGTACAGAGCCCAGCCACAGGCGGCAGGAGCTTCTAGCTAGAGGCATCTTATGCACTGATTTACTCTTTAATTTTTCTGATTACAGAAATTAATCTGGCTCTCCAGAACAAAATATTGAAATCACTATACAATTAAGGAAAAATTTGTCTGAAAGAACTATTAGCTATAGTGAACTGGATTAATACTACTAATATCACAAAATATATTATCTATTAAACATTTTGCTTTTTTCTTTTTTGCCTCAGAATACATTCAGTTTTGTCTTTCCTTAAGCTTCCAAGTTTTGATCTACCTTTATTTCAGTTTATGATGGGGGTGATCAGTGGTTTGCATATTACTCTATTTTGAACTCTGATAGTTTGGGGCAGACTTATTAAACATATTTGGTCTACATAGCACCATAGATAGGTATAGGGGACTAGAAGGAAAATAAACACCAAAATCTACTGAGTTGAATGATGAAGGAAAAATAATCCCTCTGACTTCTCTATAATACATTATTTCTGATTGTTTTCTGATGGAAGACAGAGCAAGGATTAGTTCATTACAAACTACATGATATATTGGCATATTTTTTTCCAGAATAAAACTACATTAATCATAAAGAGCAGTGTCATAGGCTTGCTCAGTTTCTTGTTACTTTTCTTACTTTCTCCATATTCTTTCTGGGATCTGATGTGACGTCAATGGCTTGAAACGCTTTCTGTATGCCAAGTGATCGAATATAACCATCTTAGCTTTCATGTTACACAATCAGATGTTTTTAAATAACAGAACTGGAGACTGTGGTGCATTTTTCAAACCAAACTTCTCACTTGCCCCAGGATTTTTTGATCTCGGTATATCATCTATTTATTATTATAACCAATTATTATCATCATCTACTTATTGTGTAGTGAGTGGGGAATGCATGACACAGCTGTGCATACTGGAAGAAGAGGTAGGAGCTCACAAACAGTTGCTTAAATGAGATGCCATATCTTTCTTGGAGGCTACTCTCAGCTGTAAGACCCACGTCTGAATAAACAGTGACTCCTGACTTCTTTGAATTCATTCCTTACCCAGCTGTCTTGAGTTCTGGATTTTAGCTCATTTTTATTTGACCCAGCCTAGAATCTTGAGTGGAAGCAATAAGATAAGAGCATTACAAGACAGAAAAAAATTAAAAGAATTGATAAATAAGTATCAAAGCATACTGCTTCAACAGACAATATGCAAAAAAAAAATGGAAACAGTAATGTGTACATTTTCAAGGAAAAACACTCAAAACACTGAAAATCAAGAACAAACATACTTAGTGTATGGGCAAAAGAAGATGAATGGGCACTGAAGACATAGAAGAACCATTAAAATAATCTTGGCAGCAGACTAAGAAACAGTCAGGTTCGTGGAGAAGAAAAAGAATTAGAAGGCATAATGGGCATCTGTAATATGCATGTGGATTTGAGCTGAGTTGCCCATATGATGAAGCAGTAGAAAGCTATTAGAAGATCAATAAATAGTAAATATGTAAACATGAACAGCCTTGTATGTATGTATTCATGAAATCTGTTTAAGTTTCTGGTTCTTACTTGGAGATACTGTGCTGATAATTGCTCTGAGACAGACAGTGAGCAGAATTCCATTTTTTTTTTCAGAGTGTTCTCCTTCTCTTCTCATCATCTTACTACCAGAATGAGCCAGGGACTAATTCTTGCCTTCTCTCTATCGGATTCTTTGATGATCTCACCAGCTTTGCTGCTTTAAACACAATCTACGAGGGTGATGGCTCTCACTATTTTATCTCTTGCATGGACCTCTCTTCTGAACCCCAAACTCACATGCACAAGTGCTTAACAGGAGCACTCACATTTCTCTTCTGCCCAAACTTAATGGTCTCCTTTGTCCTTTAGCTTCATTTGTCTACATATCCAATCACTCATCACATTCTGGAGGTTTAGTTTGCAAACACAATGCAGAAGCAGACTGTTCCTCATCCTTCCCCCAAGGCCATCCTGTTCCAGCCTCATCGTCTTCTCAGGTCTTACCTTTCTCCTATAATCTCTGCTTCATCCCCACACAGCTTCGAGAATGACTGTGTTCCACTGTCACACCTCTTCTCCCATTGCACAACACCCTGGATGGATTTCCAACACACTCAGCTCCTGACTAAAATCTCACCTTCAAGAAAGGAGACCTTTCTTTGAGCACGGTAGAGTAATTAAAATTGTGATCTACTCCTTTTGATTCCTGAAAATGCAAAGGAAAAACCAATTCCTGCTGACATCATGCAGTCCAACCACACACTCAAAATGATCACTTCTCTGACCTCAATGGTGATGGGAATCTCCCCTCACTAGTAAAGGAGTGATTCTGAGGTGGTGGGAGCCAATGGAGTGCCATTGATCCCAATTCATACTAACATCATCTAACTGAAAAAGAGCATCAGATCCCATGTGTTGAGTCCCCCAAACTGTCACCACTTTAGATGGTGACTTTAGATGTTAGTGACAAGTCCTAAGCATCTCACTCAAGCTTCTAACTGACCAGCTATAAAAGGGGTTCCTGTAACCTCTTTATTAGGTTGATTAATTTGCTTATGTTTCCCAGTTTATTGTAAAGGATATAAATGTCACACTTACATGGGTGGATGAGCAGAAGCATGGGGTGAGGCATGAGAGATGGGCCCCGCCCATCTCTGCAGGAGCCCCACCCCCATAAACCCCCTCACATTCAGCTAACTGGAAGCTCTCAGATATCTGTCCTTATGATTTTCTATGAAGGCTTCACTGCCTAAGCGTGACTGCTTATAAAATTCTTGGAGAAACCTAGGAAAGCCTGTCTGCTCAGAATCATCTTGGCCTGTCTGTGCAACATTCCTTCTTCCAAAGTATAGTACACATTAGGAGAGTCTCATGGCTCGCTGTCCTTTCATAAGTTATAATTTCTGTGGTTTGCAATGGGGAGAAAGGTATGAGCCAGGAGTCACAATTGAAAGCCAAAGTATATATGCTGGTTCATATCCTGGAGGCTGAAGTAAGAGAATTGCAAGTTAAAGCCACGCCTGAGATGCATAGCGAATTCAAGGCAGGCCTGTACTAATTAGTGAGACCTGTTTCAAAAAAAGTACATATGATAATGTGACCCTTCTTTACTTCCTTTCTGGCTAGATTTTCTCCTTAATAGGTATCACAATCTTATATAAAATAAATTTTCCCTATTGGTTTTATCTCACATATGTCTCCACACCCAGGTTAGAACGATGATGAAGAGTTTTCATCTCTTTGGGTCAGAGATCAGAGTCAGAACTTTTAGAAAGTGACCATTATATACATAATATTTCATTTTAAGATTAGAGAGATAAATAATACCCAAAATATTTAGCAAGATGACTAGATTTCATACCTTTGTTTATGTATCAAGCAAAGTTCAAAGTTTACTAATATGGAAATTCTTTTACACTTTGGAAAATAAAATATTTTTCTTTGAATTGTATGTAACTAGCAAACTGAAACAAAAAATATTTCACTCTGAATGTCCCCATTTTGTTTTGGGGAATTTATTATTAGAATATCATACTGACTCAGTTCTACTTTAGTTATTATAGTTATAATAACTATAATAATGCATTATTTATAACTATAAATAATGCTGTTGTGTTAACATAGGTGAGGCCTGTTATAAGCCAGTAAACAGTTCAGATCATTCAAATGTGCCTTTAGGTAACATTTCTAAAGTTAGAGAGAAACTTAGTTCACACAAGTTCACTTTTCCAATCAAATGTCAAATGATAGAGGATTGTGAAACCTTGTGGGTTGTATAATCTATTAAAAGCATGTTCTCATGAGAAGTGAAAAATATCTGCAATGTCAGCTTCTAAATAATAAGTTAAAAGTTTATAGAAATAACCATAGGAAAGTCACAGTAAAAGAATTTCAAAGCTAACAAGTCCTCTTTTCATGACAAAAATATCAGGACAATAATTAATAGGAAAAATAAAACTGTCATCTCACCATCCTAATATAAGAAAAATAACTTCACTTTTCACATGAAACTTGATTCTATACAGATAGATATATACTGCATAGTTAATGTCATAAAAATATTCATACTTGGTGTGGATATCCCCCAAAATTATATAATTTTTTTTCCCTACAAGTGATTTTTTTCAATTTTAGAATAATGAGCTACATGGTAAATAATCAAATATATGTATCATATTGGTATAGCTGTTTTGCTATAGTGAAGTTCTAATGTCCATGTTCTACCTGATATCAGTTTTGATCAACATTGTTACTGTATGTAGAAAAGGCATTAGTATTTTAATCTAAAAATCTAGTTTTGAATTTTGGCTATCTTTTGTCTAGCTGTGTGATCTTAGGCAAATGTTTTAACTTCTTTCAACTAGATTCTTAATGTATATGAAATATGATTACAACATCAACTCAATTACACTGTGTTTGAGAATGTACCCAAACTCAATGGTAGTTTGCACATTTAAATGTGTATGGAACTCTAGATTCACTCCCTAGCAGCAAAACAATAATATAAAGAATGACAATGAGAATTAAAAGTGTGTTTTTGTAAATCCCTTGGTACACAGAAAATTGTCTGTTAATGGGTAATCATTATTTTAAAATTTCAATTTTTCATACATGTGTTTTTCTTATTTTATCCTTGCTATAGTGCCGTCAGATATATAGTCCTATTTTCTTCATTTACAGTTTAGAAAACCAGGAGCAAAATACTAAAGTAACTAGCTAATGTCACCAGCTGGGAGTGGAGATTCTGGAATCTGATAGTAAGCAGGCAGTGTACTATTAGAATATTGACTCTTTTTTTTTTTTGTTTTTTTTTTTTTTTTGTCTTTTTCCTTTTTATCGGTACCAGGGATCGAACTCACGACTGCCTGCTTATAAGGCAGGCGCTTATGTCGCTGAGCTAAATCCCCAGCCCTAGAATATTGACTCTTAATCACCACACAAAGCATAATAATCTCAGTTCTGTGCCTTTGTTTTCACCATTATTTTCAAATGGCAATGACAAACACCAACCCCTCAGTTCATTCTGTATAAGTCTTACCTAGTTTTCAAGATGAAACTAAATTCTAACACCTCCACGTAGATCTTTTCTCTAACAATCCTGTCTGCTGTTGAAGTAATTTCAGCTCTCCTATACTTCCACGGTAGTTATTCATGGCACTTTATCACAGCATACCTGTTGGAGTCTATGCCTTAGATCAAGAACTCATGAAAATAGAAGCTTTCGTTTTTGCATCCATTCCCTACATCTACTTCAATGAACAGCTTACAGAGATACTCAGAATCTGTTTGCTACAGGGGCAGGTGAAGGTGATAAAAGCATTAACTTAAAGCCAGAAATACTATGTGAAAAGTAAGGAAAATAGAATAACTAAAATTAGTTAAATCATACTTGTAGTCAAGCCAATATTTTTATGAAAACATGCATGATTATATGACAAATATTTCTTGCCAGTTCAACTACAAAATTGAGCGTATTTCATGAATATTTATACCCATATATTCAGTTTTACGGTCAGCAAAACTTACCAAAATATCTTTACATAAGCAGTTAGAATAACCTAATAAAATTAGTAATAGTAGAAAACATTTTATTAGAAATTACTGATCATATTTACCATAATATTCCTCTCTGTCTCTTTCTCTATCACTCTCTCTCAGTAGACACATACAAACAATAGAAATAATTTTGAAAAATGACATTAAAGTAAACCTCTTTTACCTTGGAGTATAAAGCAGGCACACTGATTCATTCACTTCCTTCTCTTTGCAACTGAAATCTGAAATTGTATCTCATAGTATTTCAGCATCTGGTCCATGAAGAAAGGAAATGACATGCTTGTGTTGAAAATTTTTCTTAGCAATGTGTTTTAGTAGCATTTTCTACAACCCACAAGTTTGCAAAATCTAAATGTGCCCAACTCATTCCTCTTCCCATGTGGGACACTAAAAAATAAAATGAGAAGTTAAAAGGAAAAAGAAAAGGGTGTTGGAAAAGGGCACATAATTTATAGCAGAATGATCTTTGCCTTTTAGCTAATTAGCTAATTATGACTTATAACATTCAATAATTCCCCTAATCTCTTCTTTTGTATATAAGTTTGAGAGATGACTTCACATTTGAGTTTTTTTTCCATCCTTTTTCCTATACACTGTATCCTGGGTCTGAAACACAAACACATGAGAAAAGGATTTGATGCCTAATAAATAAAAGCAATATTCAAATAATGCTCATTTTAACTCTTTCTTTACTGATCTAAGCATTATCTATCTTTGACCACCTAACAAGTTATTTTTTTTTCCCCCAGAGCATGGAGGCTGAAAATATGGGGTCAAAAGAAAGGAAAACTCCTTACTCTGTACTACTCTGTCAGAATTGTATGTGTTTTATATTATTTACTGGGTCCTAGTTCAACAACTTCAAGTATGATGTACACACAAAAAAATTCAACAGTACATCAATGAGTTTTTATAGCCAATATTTCTGAGAGGATAGAAGTTTAATTTGCATTTTATAGGCACTTCTTGGTGCCCTAAACAGGGGGAATCAGATTTCTTATCCAAGAATGGTCAAAATTAATAAGTACATACCATCTCTCAGAAGGCAATATGCCTAGGAAAAAGAATGGGTAGCAGTATATGATTCTTTTATGTTTTGTTGAGTTTTTGTTTTTGAGACAGGGTCTCAGTATGTGGATTAGATTGGTCCTAAACTCACTATGTAGCCCAGGCTTGCCTTGAACTTGTGGTAATGCCTCATCCTCCCAAATGCTGAGATAACAAGTGTGCTCCACCACACCTGGCCAGTCCAGCCATCCTTTAGATAACCATCAAAAGACAGTGGCTCAGTGGTAGTGCACTTGCTTAGCATGCTTGGGGCACTGGATTCAATCCTTAACATCATTAAATAAAACCTGAAAGTAAATATATAAGCAATAAATAAATGGCCAAGAGTAACAGAGGCATTAAAGTAAGCTGCATAATTTCTAGTCAGGTAGTTTCAAAAAGTCTGATTATGCCCAGCACAGCATAGAATGCTATAATCCCAGCTACTTGTGGAGGTGAGGGAGGAGGATCACAAGCTTTAGGTCAAGTTAGTGACATCTCATTTCAAAATAAAAAATTTTAAAACCTGGGATATAGTTAATATGAAGCTTTGAGTTTAACACACACACACACACACACACACACACACACACACACACACACAAGATCACAAGTTGATCCAGGCTGACAGTTATTAAGCTGTTTCTTAAATACAGTAGTTTAAATTTACCATGAAATTCTTAGTGAAGAGGAACTGGAAACTAACATCAAAACTCACTCTACTTCCCTTATATTTGTACATGCATCTCATTTTAGAACATGGGGTCCTCCAAATCTGGAGTTGAACAATCCCTTCTTATATTGTTAATCTGGACAGTGAAAAAGTCAGCAGTACAAGATTAGAAAAGTTGACTCTGGAAATCATAAGACAAAACACCAATGTACTGACTTTCCAAAAATGAGAACTATTTTCATTGAGAGTGAGTTCTATTTCTATCTTGTCTCTATAGTATTGACGGCATATCGCTGTACTTTCACATTGCAAACCACTTCCTTACTTGATTGCTTCTACATTCCTAAGTCGATCTAACAATTCACCTAAAAATCCCCTCTCACTCTTTCTGTGTATAAACATGTGTGATCTGTATGTATACTTTTCCATATCATAAAGCTATAAGTAAACAGAGCTTAAAGTCAAACACAGTTTGATTTCAAGACCTAGCAAGGTATATGTTTACACTTAATGTAGAGTCACTGTATGTATTATCAGGTGTATGAAAATTCTTTATTAGAAATGTTGTGTGGAAAAAAAATTACAAACATTCTAGATCATAAGAATGGGCACCTTGCTCCCAGTTACTATGACAGGATATAATTACTTCATTTTTGTTGCTTTTGTAGATCAGTGTGTAGGCTGAGGTCTCTATAATATTCCACCTAGTTCTGGGCATGGTGGCACACACCTACAATCCAAGTGCTCTGAGAGGTTGACTCAAGCAGATCACAGTTTTCAGCCCTGCCTGGGAAATAGCAACTGAGACCTTGTCTCAAAATTTAAAAAAAAAAAATGTGCTGGGGATACAGATCAGTGCAACACTCCAAATTCAATATTCAGTACTGAGGAAAAAAATATGCACCTGTTTTTCAAATAAAGGTTTAGATCAAATAGGGAAATGGATTGAAAGAATTGAGTTAAATAACCTAAGGCTCATTGTAATAGAAGCATGCTCGATTCAAAGGCTAAAATTGTAACAGGTCATTTTTCATAAAAGATAAGATATAACATTAGTGATACGTTTCCAAAGATAATATTTTTCATGTTCTGGATTCACAGTTATAATTAAAATACTGATTTATATGCAGGTTTTAATAATTCTACAATGGACACTTGCCTTCACCTGAATGTAATACATTTATAGAATTATTAAAAATACTTTATGAAGATGGATATTGAAAAACTGCATGCCAGCAGAGCTTTTTGTCTGATATCATAGTTAGAAATAAGCATGTATTATCACTAATATGATGTATACTACATATAAACAGAAATTTTCTGTGCTTTTGAAGTTAAAATACAAAACCAGGATGAATATATCAGCCTAAAGAGCATTTTGCTTCTATTAAATCTATAATAATGCTTTGATTCATCCACACAATATCAAATGATTATTTTTATTAACTAAAATTTTTAGTATTCTTAATAGAATTTTAAATTTAAATTTAAAATATATTATATTTCAAAAGTTGATTAAAAACCATAAGTTTATGGAATTTAGGTCTACATTATGTTTTTGTGTTTTAGCACAATCATATAGCAACACTCTTTGGAGTGAAGAGACCAATGTATTGGTTTTCTTTTTTTTTTTTTTAATTTTATTTGAAGAAAGATTAAACAAAAACAAAACAGGTAGAAATAATACATATGTTCAGAGAAAAAAATAAACAGTAAGAAATCACTAGTTGATGTTTACATATTGTCGTTTTACAAATAGTTGTTCAAGATACAAAAATGGAACATATAAAGTGGGAATTCAAACAGTGAGCCTGCAAACAGTTCTGTTCAACTGTTGCACAAAAACTTAGTAACATGGTTGTCAATCCTATACACTTAAACATACACGAGATTATCCATATATTCATTTATGTTGAGATTAAGCAAACTAAAACAGGTTAAAATCATTCTGAACAAAAAATAATAGTATTACTGGATTTTGCAATCATTGCACTCCATGATCATCAGTGGGTACTATTGTACCCATTTAAAATTTAATTTAAAGAAAGACTAAACAAAAACAGTAAATGGGTAGAAATAATACATAATTTCAAAGAAAAAATAGTAGGAAATCACTAGTTGATGATTACAGATTGTCTTCTTACAAATAGTTATTCAAGATATTAAAAGTGGAGCATATAAAGTGGGGATTCAAACAGTGGGACTTCAACCAGTTCTATTCAACTATCCAACAAAAACTTAGAAATATGGTTATCAATCCTATACACTTAACATACATGCAGTTATCCATATCTTCAATTAAAAATACTGCCCTGCAGTATTCTCTGTAGAGATGGATTGGTGGTTGCGAATTTCCCAAGTTCCTCTTCATCTTGGAAGCATCTTGTTTCTCGATTAATTCCTAGAAACAAGGTATATCAATCTGGGATGGAGGTTATTTTCTTTCAGGGCTTGGAATATTTCACTCCAGGCTCTTCTTGACTTGATGGTTTGTGTCGAGAAGTCTGTCATTATTCTGATGGGCCTTCCTTTATAGGTTATCTGTTTCTTGTCTCTAACGGCTTTTAATATTCTGTTCTTATATTGAATTTCTGGGATCTTGATTATTATATGGCTGGGTATAGCTCTATTTTGGTTGTAGGTGGCTGGAGTTCTATATGCCTCATATATCAGAGTATCATTTCCTTTTCTTGTTTGGGAAGTTTTCTTTAATTATTTCTGTGAATAACTCTTGTAGTTCCTTTGTTTGTATCTAGCTTCTTTATTCACATTCTTTATTCTCAAGTTGTAGATCCTCTTGTCATCTTCTAGCCTTTGTATTGTTACTGCTTGTTTCCTTGTTATTTTTTAAAGTTTTCCCTTTCATACTCCCACATTGCAAAATTGTCCTCCAGTTTGGGTAATCTATCTTTAGTTTCTTTCAAGCTGATTTGCCATCTTTCCATAGAGTTTTTAATTTCCTGGTGATCTCTTTGAATCTGCTTCATGTATTCTATATTTTCTTTATAATCTTCATCAAGTGGTTCTCTCCTTTGTTTGAGTTCCTCCCTTCTTCCATCTGTGTCTGCTTGAGAGGTGCTTAGTACCTCTTTATTAAAATCATCTTATATTTTGCTTTACTTGGCTAAATATTTCCCTTTTGAAACTTGTCTATGAGGTCCCAAATATTTTTCTTTATGTCCACTGGCTCTGTGCCTGATATTGCATGTTTGCTGTTCTCATTCTCCTTTGTATTTACCTGTCCTGGGTCAATGTTCTCAGGATTGGGACCTGGCAACTTCTTGTTGTTGCTTCTTCTTTCCATCTTTTTTACTTCTTCCAGGAGGCTCAGTTTCTTTCTTTGTTGGTTACAAGTCTTCTGAAGCATGCTGGCTAGATGACCCTTCCCACTGCCATGTGCTAGAGAGTTGCAGACAGGGACAGCAATGCTGGCCCTTCCCCTCTGGATCAGTCAAGCTCCTGTGGCCTGCACTGTATTACTTTGCACCACCTCCCCTCCAGGTCAGTCAAACTTCTGAGGCTTCACTGGGTTAGTGTGGTTAATGTGCATCACCGCTGTAGGGACTTGATTTCAGATAACCTACTGGGGTCTCAGCC